GCTGTAATGTGCCACTTTAATATAATGTATGATTTGAAACTGGTGATCTTAACACAGCTGGTGCTGAAATAAGACACACTGTCCTATTAATGGAATAACTTAAAAATATTAGTCCCATATGTTTCCAAAAATCCTTCTCCTGTTGGCCTAGGCACCTTTATCATAGGTTATCTCATACATGCTCCATTTGTCACCTGTCCTAGGAACTACAGGTCCCTCTTTACCTCATGAGAACTCTGACCCTGCTTATGGGCAGGCAATATGGAGCCACTCACTTCCCCAAAGAATAGAACTGTTAACATGGTAACTATAAGACTGTTTGTCTGGGATACAGAACAAGACTGCATCTTTCCAAAAAAGAAAAGGTCTGTAAGAGTATTATCACTAAAGAAGAAATCAGCCGGGCACCAGTGGATCACACCTGTAATCCTAGCTACTAAGGAGGCTGAGATCTGAGAATCACAGTTCACAGCCAGCCGGGGCAGGAAAAGTCCAGGAGACTCTTATCTCCAATAAACCACCAGAAAACCAGAGGTGGCAATGTGGCTCAAGTGGTAGAGCACTCACCTTGAGCTGAAGAGCTGAGGGACAGTACGCAGGTGCAGAGTTCAAGCCACACAACCAACCAAAAAAAAAGAAGAAGAAGACAACAACGACAGCAACAAAGAAGAAGAAAACAACAATATATCTAGAACTGAAACACACACACAAACACACATACCCAAATATACATACACACTCAACAAGCAACTATTTACCACAAAGAATAATTTTTTTTAATGAAAACAATCCCAAGGCCTTTATTGTCACCTGATGATAATACAAGATCATCAGAACTGTGCACAATAAGAACGGGGCTCATCAAACAATATGAACAGATGTTTTCTTAGATTCCCAGAAAAGAACACTAAAAAAAAGTATGGATGTCTAAGTATGTATAAGATTCTTAATAACTTTTCACTTCATTGATCATTTCTAGTTGGAGACACTTTGTAACAAAGATTATCGCTTTTTAACATGATCCAACACAGTATGTATAAGTATGTATAAGATTCTTAATAACTTTTCACTTCATTGATCATTTCTATTTGGATACACTTTGTAACAAAGATTATCTCCTTTTAACATGATCCAACACAGTTGTTTTCTTGACTTTGTTTTAGAATGAATACCTTCTGCATGATCTAACACAAGGTTCATGTATCCATCAAAACCAATGATGCAGCCCCCTATCCACATATTCACTTGCTATAGAGCCACACCTGAATTCCAGATATTTTGTAAATATCTGAAGATAAAGTTGATGGGATGCACCATCACTTTCTGCACCTTTTGGCCCTGGCCACAGAACGTCATGATGGAATCTTACAAAGGCCACAACAATGAGCACCACAAAGAATAATTTAAAACTAGTGTTAGATACACACTGAAATATCATATAATCCCAGCTCTCAGGAGACTGAGGTAGAAAATTTTGAGTTCCACCCTAGCCTGTACTATACAGCAATATTTTGTCTCCAAAAGAGACAGGGGTTCATATGAAATAGTCTTTCTGAAAAGAAATGTCAGAAACATTTCAGAGGCAAAAACTACAACAACCTCCTTGACTCCAATGGGACACATGTACCCATATGCAATATGTATGTACATACATACACATATGAAAGACCAAAAGAAAATCACAAAAAGGTTATTTTGCATTTGTGTTTGGTAAGCTTATGAGCAATTTTATTTTCTTAACTGTTTTCTACATTTTCAAACTTTCCTACATGAACATGACCTACTTTTAACAAAAGAAATTCTTAACAGAGGGTACTTATTCAAATGAAAATGTACAAAGAGAATGGAGAAAGTATTTCTTTTTTTAACTTTTATTTTCAATATTCTAAGTATACCCATACTTAAAACACCAAGTACCCAACAATAAATAGTTGCTACCCTATGTCTATCCTACTTAATTTTCTAGAGGATTTTTTTAAACAAACCTAAACCTACTACATGAGACCCTGTCTCAAAACATAAAACAAAAATCCTGATTTCATGTCATTTCATTAATATTCAATGTGCCTCGAGCTTGAGATCTCACAAAGTACTGAAATCCAGTTATAAATGACCTCCTCCCCCTACTTTGACTTTGCTTTAACTTTAACAAGTTAAAGCAATTCACAGCACTATGATATCATTACATCCAAGAAAACATGGTCACATCTACTTCTTAGTCTAGCTTCAAAAATAACAATGGTTTTCCTAAATGACACTGTTCAGCAATTCAAAATCTATAGAAAATGTGAAGTTATGCCACCACCTCACATCAAGAATACAAAAAGCATGGGGCTGGGAAGGTGGCTCAGTGGTAGAGCGCTTGCCTTGCATGCCTGAGGCCCTGAGTTCGATTCCTCAGCACCACATAAGCAAAAAGAAAAAAGTCGGAAGTGGCATTGTGGCTCAAGTGGTAGAGCACTAGCCTTGAGCTGAAGAGCTGAGGGACAGCGCCCAGGCCCAGAGTTCAAGTCCCACGACCAGACCTAACAAAAAAAAAAGAATACAAAAAGCAGTGTGAATTGATTCTGAAAAGCAGGAAGAAAAGGAGAATATACACAAGGCTTGAACGGGCACTTCACTAAAGAGGATGAGAAGGTGGCTCAGTGATAGAGTGCTTGCCTTGCATACATGAGACCCTGGGTTCAATTCCTCAACACCACATAAGCAGAAAAAAAGCCAGAAGTGGCGCTGTGGCTCAAGTGGTAGAGCACTAGCCTTGAGCTGAAGAGCTGAGGGACAGTGCCCAGGCCCAGAGTTCAGACCCCCACGACTGGGCCCAAAAAAAAAAAAAAAGAAAGGCATGGTTCTTCACCCCAGAAACATATACAAAATATCCACTGACTGAAAGAAAGGCTGCTGGGGAACACATATTTACCTAAGTATGTATATATCATCCCATAGGTCAGTCAGTCTCTCTCTCTCTCTCTCTCTCTCTCTCTCTCTTTCTTTCTCTCTCTCACACACACATACATACACACACACACACACACACACAATTAGTGAGACACTATCTCAACAAACAAACTGAGCTTAAGGTTGGTGGTAGATACCAATAACCCCAGTGATGCAGGAAGCTTAAGTAGAAAGACTGAAATCCAAGGGCAGTCCCAGGCAAGAAAAAAAAGACATGAAACCCTAGCTGAAAAACAACCAAAGCAAAAAGGGCTAAAATCATGGCACAACTAGGAAAATAACATCTCTGTAGCAAGTATGAGACGTGGGGTTTTCAAACCCAATGCAGCCAAAAAGAAAAAAAAAAAAAAAACCTAGAAATGAATTAACACAAGGCTATAATAGTACAATCTTTCAAAAATATAATTTGAGCGGGGCGCTGGTGGCTCACACCTGTAACCTAGCTACTCAGAAGAATGAGATCTGAGTATCACAGTTCAAAGCCAGCCCGGGCAGGAAAGTCTGTGAGACTCTATCTCCAATAAACCACTCGAAAACCAGAAGTGGAGCTGTGTCTCAATGGTAGAGCGCTTGCCTTGAGCACTGGCCTGTGGAGCCCAGGGCCAGTGGCTCTCATCTGTAATCCTATCTACTCAGGAGGCTGAGATAGGAGGATCACGATTCAAAGCTTAGCCAGACAGTAAACTCTCCCCCCACCCCACCCCCAGACTCTTATCTCCAATTAATCAACTGGAAGTGGTGCTGTGGCTCAGTGGCTTGCCTTGAGCTGAAGAGCTGAGGGACAGTTCCCAGGCCCAGAGTTCAAAACCCATGACAAAAAAATATAATTTGAGAAAAACAGAGAATATACAAAGACTGGTGGGAGGAAAAAAAGAAGAAGATAGGCGTGGTACCACATGCCTATAATCCCAGAATTCAGGAAGCTAAGGTAGGCTAAGTGCCAAAGGTTCACATCTGTAATCCTAGCTACTCAGGAGGCTGAGACCTGAAGGTCTCAGTTCGAAGCCAGCCTAGGAAGAAAATTCTGGGCAGAAGATTCCATGAAACTCCAATTAACCAGCAAAAAGCTAGAAGTAGAAGTATGACTCAGCCAGGTGGTGGTGGCTCACACTTATAATCCTAGCTAATCAGGAGGCTGAGATCTAAGGATCATGGTTCAAAGCCAGCCCAGGCAGGAACATCCAAGAGACTCTTATCTCCAATAAACCACCAGAAAACTGGAAGTGGCGCTGTGGCTCAAGTGGTAGAGTACTAGCCTTGAGCTGAAGATAACAGGGACAGCACCCAGGCCCAGAGTTCAAGTCCCATGACCAACAACAACAACAAAAAAAAGAAGTATGACTCTGACTGAGCACCACCATTGATCAAAAAAGCCTTAGTACCAACACAAAAATAAAGGAAGCTAAGGCAAGAGGATCATGAGTTTGAAACCAACATGGCTGACCCATATCCCAATAACAGGGGAGGAGGCATGGGAATAGAATGAGAGAGATGATCATAAAAGAGAGAATAATGATAAATATAAGCCTTTTCCAGTGTAGCATTTAAATGACTAGAGAGAAAGCAAAATAAATCTGAAATACTGCTTTTGCTCGGGCTGGGAACGTGGCTTACTGGTAGAGTATTTGCCTAGCAGACATGAAGCCCTGGGTTCCATTTCTCAGTACCACATAAACAGAAAAAGCCAGAAGTGGTGTTGTCGCTCAAGTGGTAGAGTGCAAGCCTTGAGCAAATAAAGCTCAGGGACAGTGCCCAGGCCCTAAGGTCAAGCCCCAGGACTCACAAAAAAAATTGCATTTGCTCTCAAGTGGTGGTACATGGAAAATGTACCACCAGGTTTCCAGCCATTTTCATAACATAGATACACACCAGCAACATTATGGTTACACCATCATTATGTGTACAAGTAGCTGTCTTCAATCTGAAAATCACTAGCCACAGAAATCCTGCTGCTGACTTTTCACTCTTCCTCTAGGAGTCATGACCACCTAACATAAATGAATACTTCTCAGACATCAAAACATTCTTTACTACTATAAGTATACCTCATCATATATGCTCCCATTAATATCTGCACCATAGATAGGTGCCACAAAAGTTAAATTTTTCCAGTATTTGCGTTCCAAATCTTCATAATCCAAGTATCTTGGAGTACAATATCTGTAAAAGATTAAAAAAAAAAAAAGTAAGCAACTTTAGCTTTTTCACATTCATTTTCTAAGCAAAATCCTATTGAAACAAAAATACTACTGACATCTATGTTCTCAAACCCTGTAAAAACACAAATGCATTTAATTTTGATCACGTTATATTTTTGTTTTATAATAACACCAGAGTCTGTGCTCAGGGCCTCACATGGCTCATTGCTTATCATAGCTGGCACACTACCACTTGAGCCACCTAGCACAGCTTTTTGCTACTTAATTGGAAATAAGTCTGCCAAGGCTGGCTTCATAATGTGATCTGCTAGAACTCGGCCTCCTGATATCTAGGCTTACAGAGTGTGAGCTGTGGGCTCTGGCTCACTTTACCATCGTTATTGAGGAAAGTACCTTCACAAAAATATTGAGGAGAGTTTAAAAAGCATTATCTGAGCTTTTGAATTATTACTAAAACCTTTAAGCAATTACACAAGGATATTTTAGAGATTTATATGTATAAGACATAACACCTATGGAAAAACTGAGAAAGAACAAACCCACTAAAAATTCATTAAATGCATTAACTGTGGGGGAAAAAAAAAAGAAGAAACATCTTAGACAGCTGGAATGAGAGACTATATGGTTAGAACCCTTCCAGAATATAATGTTTCAGAGTGTACCAAATGTCAAAAAAAGGTAATAACCTCCCAAAAACACAGCTCCAAGCTGTGCTGGTGGCTCACACCTGCAATCCTAGCTACTCAGGAAGCTAAGATCTGAGGATCTCAGTTCAAAGCCAGCCTGGGCAGGAAAGTCTGTGAGACTCTTATCTCCAATTAACTACCAGAAAGCCAGAAGTGGCACTATGGCTCAAGTAGTAGAGCCCTTGCCTTGAGCTGAAGAGCTCAGGGACAGGGCTCAGGCCCAGAATTCAAGCCCCAGTCTAGAAATTCAAGAACAAAACAGACTGTACAATGGCAGGCGGCTGCAACAGCGACTGAAAACACAAGCTAAGAAGCAGCAATGAAGAGTTCTTAAAAATATAAACATAAGGTAGGTCTCTGAATTTATTGACATTATAAAGTTCTTCTACACTGAGTAGTTCACAGATTATTGTGAGTCTGCTGATTGAACAGAAGAAATATCCAGTTAGAGGTGTGGCTCAGGTGAAAGAGCACCAGCCAATAAGCAAAAGCATCATGCTATCTGAGGATAGAGGTTCAAAGCCAACCTGGGCAGGAAACTCCATGAACCTCTTATCTCCAATAAACCACTCAGAAAACAGAAAGTGGTACAGTGGCTCAAGTGGTAGAGCTCTTACCTTGAGCTGAAGAGCAGAGGGATAGATAGCGCCCAGGCCCAGAGTTCAAGCCCCACGACCAACAAAAAAAAAAAAAGTTTCTTCATGAGGAAAATAAGAAGTGGCCAAGTATGATGGCAAGCATTTATAATCCTAGGTACACAAGAGGCACTGGTACAAGGATCACAGCCTGAGGCCAGCTCCAGGCAACAACACAAGACACTATCCAGAAAATAAATAAAGCATAGCTCAGGTGACAGAATGCCTGCCTAGCAAGCACAAGGTTCTGAGTTCAAACCTCAGTACAGGGAGGGAAGGGAGGAAAATAAGCAAAGAAAAAAGACAAATATATGGTTTCACTCATATATGGAAGCCATACTTATAAGATAAACATATTCATGGACATGAATGTATGTATACATACGTATACTTACTTCTATACATGTATACACACATACAAACACATAGAATATGGTTCTAACTATGGGAATGGACAGGAGGAAGCAAGGGAGGAGAGAGGGAAAGGGAAAGATGAAGGGTAAACAGGTTTTTTGTTGTTGGTGGTGGTGGTGGTTGTTTATTTGGTGGGGGGATTATTTTGTCAGTCATGGGGTTTGAACCCTGGACCTGGGTGCTGTCCCTCAGCAATTCAGCTCAAGTCGAGCACTCTTATCACTCTAGCCATGGCACCACTTCCCGTTTTCTGATGGTTAATTGGAGATAAGAGACTCAGACTTTCTTGCCTGGGCTGGCTTTGAACCGTGATCCGCAGATCTCAGCCTCCTGAGTAGCTAGATTTACAGGCGTGAGCCATTGGCACCTGGCAGGTGAATAGTTTTGAAGTACAGTGCAACTATGTAAGAAAACATCAGTAAGAAACCTCAGTGAAAGTTGTTGATCAATAAGGGGAAGAGAAAGCAATACAGTATTCTGAGCAAACATAATACATGCATGTCTGAACTGGAGGGGTGGAAGAAGAGACAGCAATGGGGTATATATTTTGGGCAAACAATGTGTGCATGTCCAAAGTACTATGGTGAAACCTCTTGGTTTATCATTAAAAAAAAAATTATAGGAAGCTCAGTTGTGGGAGTAGGAAGGTTAACGAAGAGAGTAAATAAGGAGGAATATAGTTGGCACAATTGATTTACATGTATAAAAACAGAATAATAAAACCTGCTGGAATTGTTTTAACAAAGGGGAGTGGGATAAGGTGGCGATTGAGGAGATGAAGTTGATGGGGACATATTGAATGCATGTGTGGAAATGTCACAATGAACCCCCACTTATACAAGTTATGTATGTTACTAAAGAGTAATAACAAGGGCTGGGAATGTGGCTTAGTGGTAGAGTGCTTGCCTAGCATGCATGAAGCCCTCCTTTCCACTCCTCAGCACCACATAAACAAAAAAAGCCAGAAGAGGCATTGTGGCTCCAGGGGTAAGAATTCTAGCCTTGAGCAAAAGAAGCTCAGGGACAGTGCTCAGGCCCTGATTTCAAGTCCCAGGAATGGTGAGTAATAATAAAATAAATCATAATAAGATTTCTTTAAAAATAAGCAAAGAAACAGAGAAAACAATGAAACCAAATTTTTGTGATTGGCAAAAGTAGCAATGTTACCACACTAACTATTTAGATTGACTAAAACAATCAACACATACATTCACTAGACTATTATTCTTTTTTTTTTCCTCTACTGTTGTATACTGTGTCCTATCCAAAAGTGTATACTGAAGAAACCAGATGAACTGAAACCTATGAAAATCAGTTCCATCTCAGGACCATGGGACAGCCACAGTCACATGACCATGCAAGTGTCCTGTATAGTCACACAAGAGCCTGGATTCTCAATATATCAACAAATACTTAATTGTACTTAATAGTACTACCTTAAAAAGTAGAACTTCATTCTCCTTCCCTTCAGGGTAGCCTGCACTTAGCAGCTTGCTTGGAACAAAGAAATATGGCAGAGGGGACAATGTATCACTTCTGAGGTGAATCATGAAAAGATATTGTAGTCTCTATCACAGTAACACTCTCAGATCACGTTCTCTGGGAGAAGCCAGCTTCCAGGACAGGAGGAACAAGCCATGTGGCAAAGGATGGCAGACTTCCACTAAGAGACTCATGAGGGGAACACTGCTGAGCACCCCAGGCAACATCCTGACTACAAATTCATGAGAGGACCTGAACTAGACAGGACCTACAACCCTCCGGTTCCCAACCTTCATAAGCTATGAATTAGTTTAAGTGGCTGAAAGTTGGATCACTTATACACAGTATGAGATAACTAATAAAACAATGGTGCCCTTCCAACTCATTCAAGATATTTTTCAAGTAATTTAAGGCTTAAACATTGTCACACAGAGAAAATTTTGCCCAACAAAGATAAATTGTGTATAATCAAAACTTCACGACAATTAAAGAAAAAAAACACTCACAGCTATTATGAATAAGGTAACAAACTATAGAACATGTCCTTAACAGTGAAGCAAAGGGTGAGACAATACCCCAAGAAAACAAATGCAGTTATTAAATAGGGACTGAAAGAGACTGAACAGCTGACTTGTGCTATCCACATAGACATTTGAAAGAAATACAAACAGCAGACAAAAATCATCAACTCACTTGCCACTGTTGGCCAGCTGTCTGAACTCCTTCACAGTCATGGCCTTTTTCTGAATGTTGTATTGAGTAAACAGTCCCGACTGCCCTGTGACCATCTGCTGAATTGGTGCTGGAATAAGCAAATTATCAATGTCATCATAGCATTGTCTTGGCTTCCATTCCTTGGGAGGAATCACCTAAAAGTAAAATAATAAATTATTATCCTGAGGCAAGGCACCCGTTAACCATGACTGTAATGCTAGCTACTCAGGAAACTGAGATGCGAGGACTGCCAACCCAGGTAGGAAAAGTCTGTGACAGCCCTATTTCCAATTAACCATCAAAAGCCAGAAGTGGAGCTGTGGCTCAAGTGGGAGAGCACCAGCCTCCAGCACAGTTTCTATCACCACCACCTAGTATTGACAAGAGGCAAGAGGAGGACAAGCTATGTGCTACTGACTGTCTTCACTTATGGTGAAACTGTACTCTCTGTGCTAAAAAATCATATGTATCAACTATGACCAGAGCAGTCTCTGCCCAATTACTGTGTGGACAATTTTCATCCATCTCATATATTTTAAAAGTTCATCATAATCTGCCAACTTTCCCAACAAGAATTATCTCAAGTGCAATCAGACCTAAGGTATCAAACCTTGACCCCAGAAATAAAAGTAAAATCCAAATACATATCTTAAAAAAAATACTAATTAGCCGGGTGCTGGTGGCTCAAGCCTGTAATCCTAGCTGCTCAAGAGGCTGAGATCTGAGGATTTCGGTTCAAAGCCATCCCCCGGGAAGGAAAGACCATGTGATTCCTATCTCCAATAAACCACTAGAAAACCAAAAATGGTGCTGTAGCTCAAGTGGTAGAGTACTCACCTTGAGCTGAAGAGCTGAGGGACAGCACCAAGGCCCAGGCCCAGAGTTCAAGCCCCATGACCAACAACAAAAAAAAAAAAAAAAACTAATTAGAAAATAATCAAGGGCTGGGAAGGTGGCTCAGTGGTAGAGTGCTTGCCTTGCATGCATGAGGCCCTGGGTTCGATTCCTCAGCACCACATAAGCAAAAAGAAAAAAGCCGGAAGTGCACTGCGGCTCAAGTGGTAGAGCGCTAGCCTTGAGCTGAAGAGCTGAGGGACAGTGTCCAGGCCCAGAGTTCAAGCCCCACGACCGGACCCACCCAAAAAAAAAAAAAAAAAAGAAAAAAGAAAATAATCAAAATAGACAATAATCTGAAGCCAAAGTCACTACTATTAGAACTATTCCATCACTATCTTTGAATCATAAACTAAGACAAATTCACTAAGTTGTCAACACTACATTAACAAAGAGCCTTCCCATGCTCTGTTCTTCAAGGATATATAAGCAAAGTAGCTTTGTAAGTGCAGGGATATATAAGCAAAGTAGCTTTGTAAGTGCAGTCTTGATTTTCACTATAACATCTGATTTAGTGCAGTTCTGTACATGTGTTACTGTGGCAACTTCCAAAACAATAAGATAGGCAATATTGATATTATATTATTTGCCATAAAAGATGGTAAAAAATGATTAGAAAAAATAGTGTGTTGTGGGGCTGGGGAGGTGGCTCAATGGGAGAGTGCTTGCCTTGCATGCATGAGGTCCTGGGTTCGATTCCCCAGCACCACATAAGCTAAAAGAAAAAAGCCGGAAGTGGCGCTGTGGCTCAAGTGGGAGAGCACTAGCCTTGAGCTGAAGAGCTAAGGGACAGTGTCCAGGCCCAGAGTTCAGGCCCCACAACCGGACCCAAAAAAATAAATAAAAAATAGTGTTGTATTCCTAATACAAGCAATAGGAAATTATCATGGGATAGGATAAATAAGTATCTCCAACTCTGTCAATGAGTCTTGACTTACTTAAGGAGGCATTTTTGGACTCAGGTGTGTCTTGTAATTGTAATTCTCATTACCTTTCTTCAGTCTCATAATGCCAGGAGCAGCACAGGTAGATTCTGTGCCTGGAGCTCCTTTGGGAGGGTAGCTGTTGCTTCCTCTTCCAAGTTACTAAACATGTCACTTTGTCACCAGACAATCTACTAATCTCAGTGGAAACACAGTGTATGTTTTCAAGAAAGGAGAGAAAATAGGACAAAGGGCTACATTCAGAGACCAAAGGAAAGAGTCATATCCCAGATTCCCTTCTGTCAATCCTTAGTAAACCATTACAAGTTCAAGACCAAACTTTGTTAAATGATTCTGAAAGAAGATATTTGTTTCAACTAAAGAATGATTTGTCTCATAGAGGTAATATTGAACTGCTGAGAGGCCAAAAATTAAATATTTTAAGAGTTACTCCAATAAAGAAGCTAAGCCTGGAAATTCATCCTGAACCTTTACTTTGTTTTCTCCTTTTTCAAATCTCACCCAGATCTAGTTAACACTCAATCTAATATCCCTAAGTTGTAAACCTTTCTAAAATTGACTTTGAACTTTAACAAACACAAAACAAAATGACAGACCCTCTAGGGACATATGTAAAGACTTGGATTACAAGTAGCATCCAGTTGTCTGCTCAGCTGCATCTGCTCTCCACAGGTAACCTTCACAGCAGAGAGGGAGAGTCCAGGTAAAACCTTTACACAGATGAAGTCACCTGATTCATCCCAATGATGGGTTCTGCCAAAGCTCAGGCATTCATATAGACATGATACTGACATGTCTATAGGTTTCAGTCTTATCAGTCCCAGATTACAAACTAAATAATTAGATCAATTAAACTGAAATAAGTACAATAAAATACATTTTTCCTAAGACAATTTTTAAATTAAACTTCATTTCTTCCTCTCTGGTTACAAATAAAAAGAGATGAATGTCATAGACTACCTCTCTTTCCGAGCTCTTTGATCTGTCAGAGTCCAAACATGCAATGCAGTTCTCCAAACGTTACTGAATGCATCTATGACCCTGAATGTATCATTTATCATCATTTTTACAGGTATTAACTGGCACTTACAAGAAGAAAAGGTTTTTCAAACACATCTAAACTGTAGACTGCTTCTCTCTTCCTCACTGGTCTAGGCTACCATCCTCACTTGACAAACACAAATGCCCCAACAAGAATCACTGAATGCTATCTCGCCTCAGACCCAAGAAATATATTCTGTAAATAGAGGCCAGTGATCTAAACAACAACAGCAACAAAAGAAATAGCCAGGCACCAGTGGATCACACAAAATTGTAACTGCTAAGGAGGCTGAGATCTGAAGATCAAGGTTCACCAACTGCCCAGGCAGGCAAAATCTGTGAGATTCTTACCTCCAATTAGCCAGAAGCAGAGCTGTGGCTCAGTGCTAACTCACCAGACTTAAGCGAAAATGCTAAGGGTCAGTGCCCAGGCCCTCACTTCAAGCCCAAGTATGCGCACAAAAACAGAAACAAAATAGATAAGCCAACAGTCACCACATCTTCCTTTCCTTGCACTTAGAATGACCATCTGATAGTTTACATGGTCCCTTCTGCACTTTCCTCACCACCTGCTAACCCTGCCCACACAGTGACAACTCCCTATTCCTCTCATAATAAAGTTCAGGCCATGGGCTGGGAAGATGGCTCAGTGGTAGAGCGCTTGACTTGCATGCCTGAGACCCTGGGTTTGATTCCTCAGCACCACATAAGCAAAAAGAAAAAAGCCGGAAGTGGCGCTATGGCTCAAGTGGTAGAGTGCTAGCTTTGAGCTGAAGAGCTGAGGGACAGCGCCCAGGCCCAGAGTTCAGGCCCCACAACCGGACCCCAAAAAAATTAAAAAATTAAAAATAAAATGATCATTTAAAAAAAAAAAGTTCAGGCCACTTTCTAGACTTCTGGACTTACTGTTCTTTCTTCCTACATCTTGAGAAGACTGGGGTTTTTTGTTTGATTGGGCTTTTTCTGTTGGTTTTTGTTATTTCATTTTTTGTTTTGGCAGTTCTGGGATTTGAACTCAGGGCCTGTACTTCCTAGGCTAGTGCTCTATGGCTGAGTCATACCTTCAGCCCTGCTTTTTACTAATTTTGGAGACAGAATCTAACAAACTTTTTGGCCCAGGCTAACTTCAACCTGAACTCTCTTGATTTTCTGGGTTTGAGTCTCTGCTTAAATGTCCATTTCTCATCATTATAACATGCTATCACCAATATGTAAGTTCCATGAAGCAGGGATTTGGTCTATTCTATATCCCCAGCACCCTCATATACTCTTGGCACATAGCACAAACTCTTCACATTTGGTGAAAAAATAACTAAAAATAGAATAGACAAAGAAAAAAACTGATCATGGTTGCCTAGGGCTGCAAGGGACAATGGTTGGTGACAGGATATAGGAAATGACTGCTTAATGAATACAGTATCTTTCTGTGATGATGAAAATGTTCAGAAAAGCAACAGTAGTGACAGATGGACAACTGAATAAACTAAAAACCCCTGAATTACTACTTTAAGTGGGTATACTGCTTTTTTACATAAAGTATATCTCAAAAAGGTCATGTACTCATTGTAATCATAAACTGACATGTTGAATTGAGACTCCTTTTTACAACTGTTTAAAGATATTTAAAAGTTTAATTTTTTTATATTTTAGAATAAAGTTAAATGACAAAGAAAAAGCATAAGAAGCAAGGAAAGGAGAGAAAATTGATAAAACTATTAATACTCTTATACTTCTAAAACTCAATACAGGTATATCTCTGGTATCTATGAGCTATCCCTGATGTGTAAAGAAATAAAAAAGAAAAAAAAAGTGGTCTAAGAGCATAGCCAGAAGCATGGCTCAAGGATGGAAAAGGATGGACACTGATGGCTCACATCTGTAATCTTAGCTACAAAGCAGGCTGAGACCTGAGGATTGTGGTTCAAAGCCAGCCTAAGCAGGAAAGTCTGTGAGACTCTTACCTCCAATTAACCACTTAAAAACCGGATGTGGAATTCAAAGTGGTAGAGCTCTATTCTTGAGTGAAAGAGCTCAGGGACAGCACCCAGACCCTGAGTTCAAGCCCCACAATGGACCAAAAAGAAAACAGAAAAAAGAAAAATAAGATCACTCTTATTTGAGGAAGGAAATCAGTGTTACACATGACTAACAAGGACAAATACGTTACAATTTTTCTCCTACAGAAGACACAATGAAGCATAACTGAAGGCCAAGTGATCTTTTTTCAAGCCAAGATCTGAGCATAATCACCTTTGCAAGACCTGCTCGGTGAGCTCCTTTCGACTCCATGTAGGCAAGGTATTTGTTGAACTCCCGGAACTCCTCCATGGAGGGTCTGAAAGTCATTATCTTACAGCTGGGGTTCAGGGGGCTCCCCGCCTCCGCCACCTCCATGATGGCTAAGGTAGTCTCTGTAGAGAAGAGGATACAATCATCAGCACTGAATTATGTGTGCTTAAAGTCAGTGGTCTTTTCTACTGAGCACCATGTAAGCAATCCCCTGAAATCACCCCCACACAGCAGGAGCTCTGCTCTCCAGTTACTTCCTACTCCCCCCCCACCCCCCCGCGCTCATCTCTCCAGACTTCTGATAAAACAGCAGACTCTGGTCACCTCTTGCCAAGCTCCTATTCCTGGCACAGAATCATAGCAGGACTGTACTGCTGGCCTATTCAAGATCCTTGGTTCCAAGTAAAAACAAGACCACAAAAGATGTTATTCTTTTGGGGAGTTGGGGGAGGGAGGAAGAGGGCATTTGTTTTGTCTAGACAGGGACTTGAACTCATATCTGATGCTTTTATTCACTGGCTAGTGCCTTATCACCTATGCCACATCTCCAATCCTAAAATGTTGCTCTTATGTACCAGTTCTGAAAGAAACTCTGTCACTCACATGCATATTATCGAAAGACTTCAACTAGTCTAAGTAGAGGACACTCAATATTCCTAGCACAGTTGGCTGGAATATGCTTCCAGCTTGTTCTAACATGCTTTCCTGTAATAATTTACAAACGAATCATTGAAAAAAAACACCAGGAAGAACAAAGAAAGGCGAAGGTGTCTCTTCTCCTCCCAAGTTCACTGTCTAAAGGTTGAGAAAACTTCAAAAATGCATGCAAGAAAGAAATAACTCTACTAGACTAATTAGAAATTACTTCGTTAGAAAGGGTGGGATTAAAGACTCATAACAAGATATTTCAGCTGGTCAGATGAGAGAATGACTAGTTCAGGAAGCGGAGATACATGGGACGTATTGCAGGAATTGAGGAAAGTTTAGTGTCTGGGGCTTAGAAACCAAAATTTCAGAAGATACATAAAACAGTAGGTGCTCAAATAGTAGCATGACTCAAGTGACATAGCATTTACATAGTAAGCACAAAACCCCATAGTGCACGCACATGTGTGTGCGCACACACTCGCATGCATGCATGCACCCAAGTGCCCACATACACACTCACGTAGGTAGTCTGCAGGTTTTTCCTGCAAAAACAACTTAATTTTGCTGTCAATGTGTGAGATGACTCCTTCAACAAATGTTTATGGAGCACCTAACACATTTCAGACACAGAGAATGCAAAGATGAATAAAGAAGCTCTAAAATGAACTGGGTACTGGTGACTCACACTTATAATTTTAGCTACTCAGGAAGCTGAGATCTGAGGTCATGGTTCAAAGCCAGCCTGGGCAGGAAAGGCTGTAAGACTCTTATCTCCAATTAACCACCAAAAAACTAGAAATAGCACTGTGGCTCAAAGTGGTAGAACGCTAGCCTGGAGTAGAAGAGCCTCAAGGACAGCATCCAGTTCAAGCCTAACAACTGAGCAAAAACAAAAAAGCATTAGAGTGACTGATTCAGAAAGACCCACCCAACCTACTTCCAGATGGTGTAAAGAACTCAAATTTGAGTTTAAATCCTTTTTTTTTTTTGGGGGGGGGGGTCCGGTCGTGGGGCCTGAACTCTGGGCCTGGGCGCTGTCCCTCAGCTCTTCAGCTCAAGGCTAGCGCTCTACCACTTGAGCCACAGCGCCACTCCTGGCTTTTTTCTTTTTGCTTATGTGGTGCTGAGGAATTGGACCCAGGGCCTCATGCATGCAAGGCAAGCGCTCTACCACTGAGCCACCTTCCCAGCCCTTTAAATCCTCTTTGAGTGAAGTTTTCCCTTTTTTTTTTTTTTGACAGTACTGATAAACTTAGGGCCTGGATGATGTCCCTGAGCTTTTTTGCTCATGGCTAGCACTCTACCACTTGAACCACGGCTCAACTTCTGACTTTTTGAGGATTAACTGGAGAGCAGTCACAGGGTCTTTCCTGCCTTGACTAGCTTCAAATCATTATCATCTCAGCCCCCTGAATAGCTAGGATTACAGGCATGAGCTACCAGTACCACTCCTTACACACACACACACACACACACACACACACACACTAAATTTAATTGCCTGAAAAAAATGTGAAAAGTATAAGAGAAGATCAGCTATCATCTAAGAAGTTAAAAAATATATAATGATGTGATTATCATTCATTTAAAGAATGTAAAACTGATCCATCCTACAATATACAGATAAGGAGTTAAAAGAAACAAAAAGATGAAAAGTAAATCATAGCCCCAGGGGCTCAAGCCTATAATACTCTCAGAGGGATGAGATCTGAGGGTTGTATTGTAGTTCAAAGACAGCCAAAGTAAAAAAGTCAAGAGACTCTTACCTCCAATTTAACTATCAAAAAGCAAAAAGTAAGGCAGCACTGGTTGCTCACACCTGTAATCCTAGCTACTCAGGAGGATGATATCTGAAGGTCATAGTTAGAAACCATCCTTGGCAAAAAGTCCCCAGGAGATTCTTATCTCTATGTAATCACTGAAAAGTAGGAAATGGCACTGTAGCTCAAGTGGTAGAGTATAAAAAGGCTCAGCAATAGCACCCAGGCCCTGAGTTCAAGCCAAGAGTTCAAGTCCCAAGACTGGACAAAAAAAAAAAAAGAGCCAAAATTAGAGGTGTGGCTCTCTAGTGGTAGAGTGCTAGCCTTGACTGGAAAAGCTACCGGCAACACCCTAACCTTGAGTTCAAACACCAGTACCAGAAAACGCACACATAAGTCTTAACACCCTTTAGGAATTTAAAATTCAAAGAAAATAATCTCAGAAATATAGTAATACACAGGAGAAAACATTTTGGATTCTCCTTGTCTCGGGAAAAGGGTATGCAAAATTAAAAAAAAAAAAATCCTAGACCTAAAGGCTTGGTATTCTTAGTCAGCCTGCGCACAAGAGTCTGTGAGATTCCATTTCCAATTTACCAGCAAAAAGTCAGGTTAGGACCAGCACCTGTGGCTCACATCTGTAATCCTAGCCATGAATGAGGCTGAAACCTGAGGATCTCAGTATGAAGCCAGCTTGGGCAGGAAAAATCTGAGACTCATCCCCAATTAATCACCAAGAAGCCAGAAGTGGAGCTGTGGCTCAAGTGATGGAGCATTTAGTCTTGGAAAAAAAAAAAAAAATACAAGGACAGCACCTAGTACTGAGTTCACACCTCAAGACTCTCAAAAAAAAAAAAGGTTGAGTATGTAGCTCAAGTGGTAGAGCACCAGCTATGAGCATGAAAACCAACTAAGAAAGCACAATTCTAACCAGGCAACAGTGCCTCTAATCCTAACTACCCAGGAGGCTGAGATCTGAGGATCATGGTTCAAAGGCAGCCCGGGCAAGAAAGTCCGTGAGACCCTTATCTCCAATTAACCACCTGAAAACTGGAAGTGGTGCTGTGACTCAAGTGGTAGAGCACTAGCCTTGAGCTGAAGAGCTGAGGAATAGCGCCCAGAGTTCAAGCCCCATGACTGACAAAAAGAAAAAAGAAAAAAGGGGCTGGGAAGGTGGCTTAGTGGTAGAGCGTTTGCCATGCATGCTTAAGGCCCTGGGTTCAATTCCTAAGCACCACATAAGCAGAGAAAAAAAAAAGTCAGAAGTGGCGTTGTGGCTCAAGTGGTAGAGTGTTAGCCTTGAGCTGAAGAGCCGAGGGACAGCGCCCAGGCCCAGAGTTCAGGCCACACAACTGGACCCAAAAAAAGAAAAAGGAAGGGAGGGAGGGAGGGAGGGAGGGAGGGAGGGAGGGAGGGAGGGAGGGAAGGAAGGAAGGTTCAGAGTTCAAGTCTCAGCACCAGATTGAACTTCCAGTCCCAGTCCCCACATATCTTCCTCTATATAAACATAGGTACACATACCCAGATCTATGGCCTGCAAGATAAAATTTTCACTCTATGCATCCAAATCTAGCTCTTGCTTAACTACCCTAGCCTCATCCATCACCACTAACTACACTGTATAGTCATTCCTGCCTGTCCACAGGAGATTGGACTCCTCCCCCTAGGATACTCATCTGTAAGGGCGCTCAAGTCCTTCTTTAAAATAGCTAAATGTTCACATACAACTTATGCATAGTCTTCTATATACTTTAAATTATTAGCTTACTTAGTCAATGTAAATGTTAAATGAATAGTATGCCATACTGCTGACAAGTAAAAATCTATATACGCAAAATTTTCAAATATTTTTAATCCTCAGTTCAATTCATTGATGCTAAACACTCAAATACAGAAAAGAAAGCCAACTGCACTTTGCACAATACTTACAGACTTGTGCTTCTCTAACAAGCAGAGCTCTCTGTGTCCTGGCACATCACTCCCTACTCTTGAAGCAGCCTCAGCCTGCTTCCTCACCTGACAAACTCCAGCCTGTCTTGAGATTGCCAACCCTCTGGCAAGGACTGAGTGACACCCCTGCATTTCCTCTCCCTTTCTGCATGCCTCCATAGAGCAGTTGCCTCACCCAGCTGCTAGCACTTCCGACCACACACTGAGCTATGAGCTCTCAAAGACTCTCAGAGCCATCTCTGTCAGCCCTGGCATATAGCCTGGCATGCAGCCTGCTGCAATAATTATTTGCCAGCTGAGTAAAAGAATAAATACCAAATTGTTACAGTATTTAAATAAAAAGATGCCAAATTCAGATCATTTTCTGTCTGGTGTTTTGTTTTTGTTTTTGTTTTTTGTGGTGGTACTGGGGTTTGAACTTGGGTCTGGGCACTGTCCCTGAGGTCTTTTGCTTAAAGATAGCACTACCACGTAAAGCACAGCTCCATGTCCACCATTTTGTGGTTAATTGGAGATTAACCACAAGAGCCAGTGGCTCATGCCTGTGATCCTAGCTACTCAGGAGACTGAGATCTGAGTATCATGGTTCAAAGCCAGAATAAGCAAGAAAGTCCAAGTCTTATCTCCAATGAACCACCAAAAAGCAAAAAGTAAAGCTATGGCTTAAGTGAGAGTACTAGCCTAGAGCAAAAAGCTAAGGAACAGTACCCAGGCCCTGAGTTCAAGCCCTAATAAAAGGCACAGGCGCACACACACATACATAC